TTTTTTATTCTTTCCGTTCTCTCCCGCACTTAATCTTCCCCCTTTACCTCCTTGCAACTATCACCGGGCAGGTAGGGTACTTTCTAGAAAGACCTTTAAAAAATCTGGCGAAAAAAAAGGAGCCGGGTAACGTATAATTTTAACATTATTTTGATGTTTTACAGAAAAGCTTGCATTAATGTTTTATTATTAACACGGAAGTAACGTTTGAAATATATGTTCCAAAAACATCATTCCAATGTTTTATCGTTAACATTATTCTCTTCCTCTACAAATGGATTTGTTTAACATTTTAATATCAACACAGAAATAACATTAGTAATAAATGATCTGAAATCATTATTTTAATCTTCTATTTTTAACGTTATTTGACAGTTACGCATGTGATGTACATTAACGTTTCATTATTAACACAGAAATAATGTTAGTAATCAATGTTCTAAAATTATTATTTGAATGATCCATTTTAACGTTATTTGACAGTCACATATGTGATGTTGCATCCACGTTAATAACACAACATATAACATAATATATTTGACTGGAACGTTATAGTAAGGTTTCAAAAACAACTAAAACATATGTTTAACTTGAACGTTACATTAATGTTCAGCAGGGATGGGCAAAATACATGCAAATATGTATCGAAATACAAATACAAAATACTTCGTCAAAATTGTATTTAATTACAAACCTAATTACATTTCCAAAAATGCATTTAAATACAAGATACAAATACCACCAAGTGTATTTGGTCTCCTCCAAATACTTTTCCAAATACATTCCTCAAAATTTACGTCAGCGACTTCGGGGCACCTGCAACGGGTTTCTGGGTATCTAATTTTAATTTTGCATCACACACTTGGGAGTTAGTGTGCGAGGCTCTAGTAACGTAATAGAAATATAATCACAAAAAATTGTAATCAGCTTGGACGTAATAGGTGAAAAAAGCACAGAGCTTCAAGCAGCTTTTTTTCGATTACATTTAGGTATAGACCAACAAAGAACCGAGGAGACCAAGACGCGCAGCACTAGCCAGAGAATTTTTTATCGTTGGAACTCGCACCAGTTACAAAAATCTTGACGACCCGCGCATTTAGAATGTTCCAGACAAAAATATGGATGGAAATCAAGCTGGAAAGCATCACAAGTTGCGACAGGAACTTATTTAGCCAGTCTGCCTGTGAACGTCGATTTCGTCACTATTCTTGCCCAGGACTAGCACCGGAATCACAAAGTCACTAACCGCTTGTGCTTGATTGAGAGACACTGCATTCGGTGCAGAACGTAGTTTTCTTCCTGCTCTGGACACGTCTTAGGATAAGCAAAATGAATCGCGACAATAAATTTGAGGGATATATTTTTGTCCACAAAATTGTATTTAATTACAATTGTATTTGAAATGCCCACGTTTTAGTATTTAAATACAGACGTCAAATACATTACCCAATTTGTAATTAAATACAGATGCAAAATACACGAAGTATTTGAAATACGTATTTCAAATACTTGTATTTCAAATATTGCCCATCCCTGATGTTCAGGTATAACACATAAGATTATTTAAACATATGAAACAACAAAATAACGTAACTACAATGTCGTGTGCTAAATGGGACGTGTCTGTCTCAAGAATTTTCACAATATTAAATGGCGCCACCATTCCCAGGACACAGGGGCTTTAAGTAGAGTACCTCCAGAAAACCTTTAAAGAATCGGGCGAAAAAAAAAACACTTAAAGGAATCGGCGAACAGCATTGCCAGAGTGTTATATTTTTAACATTATTTTATTGTTTTACAAATAAAGTTGCATTAATGTTTCATTATTAACACGGAAGTAACGTTTGAAATAGATTTCCAAAATCATTATTTGAATGATTTATTTGTAACATTATTTTATTGTTGTACAAATACAGTTGCATTAACGTTTTATTATTGACACAGAAATAGCGTTAGTAAAATTGTTCCGAAATGATTATCTGAATGTACTATTTTTAACCTATTTTTACAGCTACATATGTGACGTCAGATTAATGTTTAATTATTAACACAGAAATGACGTTAGTAATGTTTGTTACAAAATCATTATTTGCATGCTCTATTTTAACGTTATTTGAGAGTTACATACAGGATGCTACATTAACGTTAATAATATAACATATAACATTTTATGTTTTACTGAAACGTTATACTAGTATTTAAAACACAACTAAAACATAATATCTTTAACTCTAACATTGCATTAATGTTCAGGTATAACACATAACGTTATTTAAACATACGCAACAAGTACGTTCCTACAATGTTTGGTGCTACCTAGGGCGCCACCTCCATGAACGCTAAAGAACGTAATCGCGGTCAGCTGCAAGAAGCAAACATATGGGCTCCAAACCTTGCAAAACAATGTGCAATGGGTACGTTCGAAAAGCTGAAAGCTAGATTTGCCATTTTTTTTCTTCTTTGGAGATCCTTAACTTTTTCGTGGGCACAAAACATGGGCCCATCCAAAAGTACTTCTATACAAAAGATATTATTTTACTTAACTTTGTTCTTTTCCATTATATTTTCGTTCTTTCTGCGGAAACACTGCTATCGAGGCTACACAATCGATTTGCTCGAGCAAGTCCGTCGTGAGTTCACGGAGCATGGTCTTAGGATAGTGTGATTTTCGGCGAGTGACAAGAAACGTTGCCTTACAGCACCGCACGACTGCCACTAAGTGCAAAGCGCGTTCGCCCGATGTGACTCTAAATTATCCTCTCTCTTTGGCGTTTTATAGTGGAAGTATAATAATTAGCAGAAAAAGCTCTCGGCATCAAAACAACAAAAAATTGTAGTCTACATAAGAAATATAATCGTTGTGTCAAAACATTGAACTTTGCAAACACGAATGTGAATTTACCTTTTTGTTATATCTGGACAACACACCTGTATAGCACCTCCCTCGGGACCAGTCTGCTTTTAAAAAAACATAATACAACTCAATCCCGTTTGCCTGTCATTTTGCCTACCACAATTAAATTAAAAAATGCCTCAGGTTGAAGACTTCAATCGCAGTGCCATTACATATTTCTATAAAAAGCTTAAATGTGTCAATATTTTGGAAACATTTTTATAAAAATATCTGAAGTGGTGAATTAAAAAAGTCCCTTGGGATGAATCCTAATTTTATTCCTGCACCCTTGGCAGACTTGATGTAACGGCAGTAAGACAGAGCAAAACGCTCTGGAGACTGCATGACGCTCACATTTTTTATCACAAGTTGGAGGGCAATATACAATAGGAAGTTGTACTGGAAACGCTTCTGGTCTAGAAAACAAAGGAAAAAAACTCTCAAGAGAGAACTATATTAAGATAATAACTTTTAACGTGCAAAGAAAGCGTGTTTTTCCCATAGTACACAAGTTCGGTACAACGTAGCAAGCTACACACACAATCCTGTATCAGTTACAAGAGTGACAATACTCTGCAAAACACCTGAGCCCGGTGGGAAGCGCACTAGATGCAGTTGTATGAGCAGCCCAAATATAATTTTACCAATGACACAGAGCTTTTGGAAAACTTTCAAGTACTTTAAAAATTTGATAAGACCATTTAATTTAACAGTATCTTACTTAAACCGACCAACAGCCTTTAAAATATTTCCATTCCTATTTTAATTATTTATCAGTACACCACGCACCGAGGTATTGATTTGGGCAGTAAGAAAAATATTGCGTGCACCTGAGAGCGCAATCGCACCACTTAAAGTGCAGGAGTTGGAAATTTTTTGAATGTTAAAAGCTTCCGTTATCTTTTTAAGAAAGAGTGTTTACTATATTATAGAGATAATTCCGCCATATCGTCCCATTAATCGATGTAAAATCAAGCTACATAAATCACAATTACTCCTGTGCGGAAAAATGTCCCGTCAGTAGTTACAATCTAGATTTGTTTGATAATATCGTGGAAGCATTTGGGAGCTTTTATTATAAAATGGCACATTTCGATCGTTTACTTGAATTTTAGGTATTTTTGTGGCCTTTCAATGGAGCTTTTTTTTACCTTACAATGTATTCAGCGCATACTGTCCGATTAGCCAGGAAATTCTGAGAATGTTATTGTTATATTGATAAGCTTGACGATTGTGTTCGGTCACTACTAAACACACTAAGTAAAACACGAAAAAAAGGACAGAGACAGACATGGAAGACATTCACAAGTCTGTCTTTGCCCTCTGTGTTTTGCTTTCTTCGGATTGAGGATTGAATATTGTTATAGTTTGTGGCCCGTCAACTCTGATTGCTTGTTAGCCTTCGTTTACACTCAGCCTTTGCGCATCCCACACTGATTTAGAGATTCCTCTCTCACTCTCAGCTGGCGGGAAAATGCTATATGTTGAAAAGGAAAGATTAACTGTCTTCAGATCCGCTTTATTGGCATACGCAATGTCATACTGGATGGCTTTCTTCAGACCGGGCAGGGCTTTTGCAACGAAATTTGTGTTTTTTACACGTAGTTGGCCGCATTGTTTGGCAAGCAGGAAGGCGCATATATCTTTGAACACGGGGTACTTAGAATAATTCAGCAAAAAGAAAACAAGATTGAAGTACGGCCACGTGGAAGTTGATAATACACACAAAAGCACAAAATATAATTACGACGTTTATTATTTATTTTTACTTTACTAGGAAATTTCCGGTGGCGGTTATACTCTCACTTAGTGTGTGTAGACTAAAAAATCATTGGTGCGAAAACCGATTTCACGTACCTCTCATCAAAATTTTCATTTGTAAACGGGATTTGAATCACACTAATGTTTAGAAAATTCGCACATGCAACATTCCTATCGGATGGCTCCATCAAAGCAACACTGGTAGGATATCTATAATTCATGAACAGAAATCTGAAATAAATAATGACATAATTTGCTGGCATGTGTCTAATTTTAAATGCCTGTCTAAAGTCTTTGAGACCAAAAATAAGATGCGCTTATCCAGCTGCCGCAGAGCAGTGCGAAGATGTATTATACACCGCAATACTAATAAAACGAAGAATTAGCTGGAGCTATCTAACAGCAACATTTTATTAATATCGTTGTCTTTACGTGCATATCTGTGAAAGAAAATATCTTTCTTTGCTTGGCGAAACAGGGACCTTTCCAAAGTGAGCTACTTCCATATGCCCGGAAAGGAGCCGCTTCTAAACTGGACTGCGGGAGACGTCATTAACAGGGCGAGCGACGTCTTCGGGGACACCACAGCAGTAGTATACACTCATCAGAACATCAGCAAGACATACTTGGAATACAAGAAAGACGTAAGTGTATACACAGATTTAGAGTCCTTCTTGGGACTGATTTCTCGAAATTAAATACTCAGTTTGAAATTGCTGACATGGAGACAAATACTTCCAATATCGTTGTTAACTACGACAAAGACAATACAATATAAACCTTGCAAAAAGCCGCAATTGAAAACCTGCCTTTAGATTACCGCCAGAGTAATCTAAAAGAATTCTCCACCCATAAAACCGTAAAAAGTAGTCCCGATGTTTCGAAGCTTACTTGGCTTCTTTTTTAGGGGTGGCTATAGGTCGAATGGGAAAGTCACAGTTTCAACCTCTTCGTCTTTGTTCACGAGGAAACATTATTTCCTCTTTCTTAAAAGAAGCGTTATTTTGGTCACGTGACGTTGGCCTTGCGCGTACACCGACGGTAAGGCACTTAGGGATCTGTTGATGTTTCCTGGCGTCTGTTGGATTTGCCAAGTTTCCAAGAGAAGCCCTTTCCGGAAATTTAGCTCCGTGTCAATCACGTGCGCATGAGCGAAGTCAATTGCATGGTCACGCGCCTCACAAGGTTCAGAAACTGCGCTGTTTTCACGGTCGAAGTTACGCACGTCGTTCCTGTGATGGCGCATTATTTTGTGAAAGATTTCTCGTCTCACCGATGTAGGTGGCTGCAGGCACTCTTTACATGGGATCTTGTATACCACGCCCTGTGCTCTTCCTCTTGGTAGTCGGTCTTTCGGGTCTTGGCATTAACCGTCCCAGTGTGGACACTGGCTTACGGGCCACTTGAATGCCTTCTTTTCGCAATACCCGTGCCAGTGCTTCGCTGATTCCTTTCACGTAAGGCCAACTGATACGCGAAATGGGACTCGGCTGCGTTGCTCCTGATGAATTCTGGTCTTGGCTGGCGCGACCTTGGCGACGTCCGACACTTTCAATAAAACGCTTTGTGTATCCAAACAGAAAAAAACGGGAACGAGAGGTACTGAAGTTCAGTCTGTACAGAAAGCCAACCCACACAGGGGGCGCTACCTTAATTTTGAATTAAACCACCCGGTGAGCCACAAGGCGTCGGTAGTGTTGACGCTGTTCTCCAGGGCAGTGACAATTTGCTCGTCTGAAACTGACCGAGAAAAGGAGATTTAGATCATCATATCTGACCTCAAGCAAAAAATGAATGCACAAAGAGTTTTAGTCAACGTGTCGGCCCTCGCCAAAGTCGCGCCAGCCAAGACCAGAATTCATCAGGAGCAACGCAGCCCTGTCCCATTGCGTGCATCAATGTGCCTTACGTAAACGGAATCAGCGAAGCACTGGCACACGTATTGCGAAAAGAATGCATTCTAGTGGCCCACAAGCCAGTGTCCACACTGGGACGGTTTACGCCAATACCCAAAGGCCGAATGGCAAAAGAAAGAGCACATGCGTATTATACAAGATCCCATGCAAATACTGCCCAGCCACCTACAGCGGCGAGACAAAGTACTTTTTCGAAATAATGCGCCAGCACAAAATCGACGTGCGTAACTTCGACCGTGAACGCAGAGCAGTTGCCGAACACTGCGAAGCGCGTGACCATCCAATTGACTTCGCTCATCCGCACGTTATGGCACGGAGCCAAATTTCCGGTTAGACTTCTCGCAATCTTGGCGCATCCAACAGACACCAGGAAATATCAACATATCGCTAGGTCCTTACCGTCTGTGTACGCGCAAGGCATACGTCATGTGTCCAAAAGACCGCCTATTTAAGAAAAAGAAAATAATCTTTCCTCGTGTCCAAAGACGAAGAGGTTTGAAGCGGTGTCTGTCCCATTCGACCTAAAGCAAATCCTGAAGAAGGAACCAAGTAAGTTTCGAAACGTCTGGACTACTTCTTATTGTTTTGTAGTTGGAGAATTATTTTTTGGTTCAGTCATTTCATCTAAGGAGACAGACTTCTGTCGGAGATGTTTACCTTCAATGTATACGTCCGTGATTTTGGCAAAAAACCGCCGTTTTAAGGAAAACCATAACTAGCAATGAAAAATAGCAATAAAATAACTTTACGACGAAGGACAGACTGAAAAAACAATCCTAAATTTCCAGACACCAGCGGCCTACCTTCACGGCGCTCTTCAATATATAGATTAACGCGTGCCATCGGCAGACTTGATAGTTGTTCCTTGCATGAAGCGATACGAGCGCTGATCGGGCTGATAACCCTTGTGAACGTCCAGAACTGCCCATAGTCAAGAGTTCCTTGTCCTCAGTACGCACAATTGGTCGACTACCTTCTCGCCTTCCTCACTCCTCCTCACTTACCCCCTGGGTGTATGACTTCCCCGTTAAGCAATTAGCATTGGGCACCGCAGTACTCGTCTTTAACCCGTCAACCAATCTGCCGATCCTGGCGACCACGCTTTTATCCAGGCTTCTTTTATCTGAGATTTACCAAATGTCCAACATAAGGCCAAAAAAGGTCTCACGTTAAAAAATGCCAACATAAAACATTAACGGTTAGTCTAATTTTAGTTTGAAATCCACATAATACACGTACCAAGATTAACAAGTATATAAAAGGTAGACCATATAAATAGCCACCTGATTACCCACATGATTACACAGTCAAAACAAAAAATTAAGCTTACACAAATACCTGCCAGACTGTCTCATAAACGTAACCTTGACATCTGTAATATGGGGTATTGAGGTTTGATGCAAAAAAATAGGCGCTTCCTCTTATACCATGACAGCGTTCTGGTTGTGTCGTCACGAAATCTAAACAAGATAAATCAGTTGTGGGCTCGTCCTATTCACACCCTATTACAAAATGCCCCGAAACTTCCGCTGAACAAACAAGAAAACTAGAGCAAGGATGTGGAGGCGTTTTTCTGTCTGGCCTAATTACTGTTTTCCACCAGACAATACAGCTTCGTAGAACACTACAATTTTATATACAACTCGGTGCTTCCCTTCACGCTTATAGTGATCACTCCAGCCGCGCTATCTGTAAAAGCGCGGATGTAGAACTATTCAGAAAGGGGAAAAAACACCCGAAAAATCCTCGTCTACATTAACATCCTGCCTCAGGACTTGTGTGGCGTGTAAATACGGGAAAACCACTGGCCGGGCAGTAGGTATTAAAGCAATAGTGTTATTAGCACACCCGGCACGACACTATCTTGCTCGAGTTTATCGGATGGCATGACGTAGAATTCTCATGTGGCGTTCCACTGTCTTCATGACGCCACACTATTTTGTGACGTCGCTGTTTTCGTGACGTTATAATATTGTGTAAATCTCCGATGTTACGTGACTCGATGATACAATTTGCCCGCTAAGCTTAGGGGGGTATTAGGAGCTGCATTAGGAGCTGTTTGGTAATGAAAAAAGAAAAAATCACCGAATAATATCGCACCTCTTGTTGAATATAACGGAATGCTTAAGCCAGGTAATTTTTTTGTCTCTTTTTTTTTCCTTGAAAACTTAAGGAACCTTTAACGGTTCATAAATGGAGCACGGCAATGTTCACTATTAGATAGTTTTGATGCACCATACGCAGAAACGTTGCTCACTCAAAGATATTGTGGGTCGTAAGTGCGCATGTGATGAACGCAATAGGAGGACAAACGTATTGCGTACGCACGCAAAGCTAGAAATTTCGTATTTAGGGTTAAGGGCTTTACGGGAACCTCCCGGGAAATCTCGGGGTCCGCGAGGGCATGATTTTCAACATGGCGGCTACCTCGACTGTCGCAGCATGGGCGACGTTGTGTCTGTCAAGGTCGGTGTTAATTCAAACTATGTGGGGTTAAAGGAGGGCACTCAAAATTTCCTTCAGCGTGGCAGAAGATTCCCCCTCTTTTCTTTTTTTCCTTATCCTCTTTCCTCCTCCATTTTCCTCCTCGCTTTTTACGGTCTTCTCGCACGAGTTCTAATGGGCTTACCGGCCCCCCGACAAAATCTCTGTCACCCTTCAAGGTTCTCTGCTTCAAACCCAAACATCGGGGATTAGTTCAGCAGGCTCGATATGAGCTCGGAAGGGTTCGGGCCGGCTCGCCTTTCTCCTTTTCTTTTTTTTTTTACTTTTCCTTTTTGCAGCTTTAAAACATGCTCAGACGCTTCCGCATGCGGCCACATACGCTACAATACCGCAAATTTATCTCGAGTGAACGGAACATGAACATCACAGCAGAAGAAAAAAAAGGTGGGTATTTTTATACCCAGGGAGTTGAAAATTGGTCGTTCTAACAACGGCACGCTGAAGAGTGTTTGTATCAGTATTTTTTTTTTTTTTTCAAAATAATAATCACGAGTAAATAAATACAAGTCAAAAATATTGCAGTAAGAGGGCGAAGCATGTAAAATTAGTTGATTTGGACAATATATAGTCATGTATCGAAATGAAAACAGTCTGACCATTCCTGGCGCATATATAGGTTCGTACTACAGGTGTTTTCTAGAGTGAAGGCCGCCTCGTTGAAGGAAATAAGAAGAGTAAAAAACAAACTTCCATAAAAAGTGAAACGGTTTATGGTATATTTCATGTATCTTCAGATTTTGAAAAAAAATTCTTCGCGGCCAAGCGTGCATTTAGTTTCTGTCAACGAATGCAACTGAAAAGTCGACAGCAGACGAATACCTGGCGTATCAGCAAAGAAAGCGGGAAACACGGAGAATGAACCACAAAATCACAATTTTCTTCGCGTAAAATAGTGCAACTAGCAATAGTAGCATATTACGCCATTTATTAGAAGACAGCAGGTATTACGAAGTTTTCATTCTGTTGTGTTTCCATTCATTCGCAGATTGGGAATTGGAATGCCCAGATAGCCTCTGCAGCCCTTGCATAATTGTTCGGTGCTCTGTCAGGGTGGGCAAAGGCCAGCGACCATCTGCGAAAAACTCAGGAGTCCGGAAGGTGTACTACCGCCAGTTTTGGGGCTGCTTGGCTAATTTAGGCGCTTGGCGTTGCCCGGCCTACTTAGAAAAGAAGCTAAACAGCGGCCAGCTCAACGTCATCACCAAACGGGAAATCACGCGGAA